TAATTTTGTACTTTTCTAATGTTGGTGCTACCTAAATATCTTTTAGGAAATCTGAAACTATTTCTATTATAATACAAATAATTTAAGATTACCTAAAAGATATTTAGGGAGCACCAACATTAGAAAAGTACAAAATTGAAATTATTTAAATATTGAAATTGATTTTTAGATTTTTCTCGAACAATTTATTTTTAAAGAAAGTAACATAGTTAAAATGGAATAAAAATAAACAAAATAAAACCCAGATAATTAGGTTTTTGTTATTTTAAAAATTGTTTGCAACAGTCTTTTTTTTGCGTCGGGAAATGCTTTTCGAAACTCTGACACAAGCTGTACAACAAACTGTTTCTTGTGTTCATTGTGTGTTATGATGGAGTTATACTCGTCAAATAAATGCACAGCTCTTTTGGCAACATCGTTAACGATTCCCAGGTGAGTTACAGTTTTTAAACCGTTTTGATAATTTTCGTCCTGAGGCCACATAGTCGGATCGATTTTAAAAAAGTGTCATCGATATCCCATCGCTGAAAGAATCTTCTTGCTTGTGGTGTTATAATATATTATTATAATTTTATTTTGTTTATTTTTTTGCCATTTTAAGTATGTTACTTTCTTTAAAAATAAATTGTTCGAAAACAATCTAAAAATCAATTTCATTATTTACATAATTGTAATTTTGTACTTTTGTAATATTGGTGCTCCCTAAGTATCTTTTAGGCAATCTTAAATTATTTGTTTTATAAGTTTTATAAAACAAATAATTTAAGATTGCCTAAAAGATATTTAGGTAGCACCAACATTAGAAAAGTACAAAATTACGTTTCAAAACACACTAATTATGCATTAAATACAAATTATCACTGATATTTTGGTTTTTATGCCATTTTCAATAACATAACAATAATATATTGTTATGTTATGACTATAGTCCTAATTGAATGGACTAAAAAAGACCTTACTATAGACATACATGAATTCTTTTTTTTTGTTCAAAAGTACCATATTTTCCCTTCATTTCCTTAAAAAATTAGAATTTTTCATGAAATATTAATGATTTTATAAAATTATTGCGTTTTAAAGCAAAAATCGCCTATATGAAAAACTGTAAGTAATAATCGAGCGAAGTAAAAAATACCTTAGGATACAAATACATAATTTCTTAAAAAATTATACTTTTTCATTGTTTAATAGTAATTTTAAAAAATTAATACATTAAAGGCAAAAATCCTCTATTTGGAAAACTTCTTGTTGTTACAGGCAATAGAAGGAAATAAGTGGGGGCGGCACGATTAAAATTTAGACATCGGTCAAATAAGAACCACCCTAATGTACTACCTAGTGAATACATAATTTATTTAAAACTATCAAAAATATCTAAAATGATAAATATATCGGACTTTCAAATATAGTAGGTGAAAAGTTAAAAAAATGGCGAATGCGCCGGGAAAACACAAAAATCACTTCTTGTTTGTATTAATAATAAGATTACCTATAACTTTTTATAGCTTTTGAAACAAAACATTTTAATAAATCGTTTCATTACCACTGGTTTTGGGACGATGAGTGTGTGAAATTTTAGGTTGCATCAGCCGCGTCTATATAATCGTTGTATTTTGGAGCGAGCTTATACCTTACACTTACGTGGTTCAACACGAATCGCATCGTATAATTTCGTTATCCCGCTATTGCTACCATTTAAAACGTTTAAATTGTACCATTCAATTTACTGTTTTCAAGAAAATATTCAAAACAAAATAGTGTTTATTAGGAGTTTAGTGTTTAAAACACTGGTTCCGTGAGTGGATAATAAACTATGCTCTGTGATATGACAATTTCAAAAGATTTTGTGGTTTTCAATAGTTCTGTTTTTTCTGTTTTTATTTGTGTATTAAAAAGGCAATTTTATGTGTGGATTCACCATGGGTCATCAGGGGTTAGTATAAAAACTTTCATTTCATAAAAAATATAAAATATTTTTGGATATTTAAATTTTATAGTCAGATAAAAACAAAACAAAACATAAATATCTATAGATATTTATGTTTTGTTTTTTAAAATATACATATATGTATATTTTGTATAAAAACAAAATTATATATTTAATGACATTTAGGTACTGTTAAATATTAGAAAGTTATCCAATCACATAAACTTCGATAATGTTCTAGAATTATTAAAAATAAGTTGGTATTGTATTTGGCAAATATTTGTACTTATAATTGCCACTGGTGGGAAGAGTGAGATGAATGACCGATTTTTATGCGACCAAATTTGAAACAATAAATTTTATTTTACATTAAATAGTGTTTAAACATTTATCCTTTATATAATTTTTACTTTGTTATATATATACAAAATTCTGGAAAATTGTCTTTTTAAGTTTTATGAACTGGGTAGATATCTACCATTGGAAATATATATTGGATATACAGGGTGTTTCATAATATATGCGCAGGACTTCAGGATATGATAGCTCATCCAAAAAGATGAAAAAAGTCGCTATTAACTTACGCTCTGAAATGCACAATTTTCGAGATACAGGGTGTTGAAATTTTAGAAAAAAATTCGTTTTTTTCGAATATCTCCGTTTATCGTACAAAGAGATTTTGAAGAGGTAGCGGGTGTTTTTCTCCTCAACTTCTACGCCCCTGAAAAAAGTACGGTTTCGCGAGGCCCATTCGAACCGCCAATGTTTTCTACACAAAAAAGGTACTCTTGGTCATAAGCTCTAAACTTGACCGTTTTCGAGAAAAATCAACTTTTATGTTTAAAAACATGGTCAATTTAAAAAAAAAATATTTTTTTTTTTACTAATTAAACAAAATTTATTTTAACATTAGAACAAGTAACAAAACCAAACCATAATTTCAAAATAAAAAATGATTCAAAAGTTGTCTTTGCTAAATTCTCCAAACCGTAAAGGTAACGCATTTCGCACATTTCAGCATTTGTGTAAAAAATCATTTTTATTTTTTTTTTTAATTTTGCAATTATCGTTTGGTTTTGTTACTTTTTCTAACGTTAAAATAAATTTGGTTTAATTAGTAATAAAAATTTTTTTTCAAAAAATTGACCATGTTTTTAAACATAAAAGTTGATTTTTCTCGAAAACGGTTAACTTTAGAGCTTATGACCAAGAGTACCTTTTTTGTGTAGAAAACATTGGCGGTTCGAATGGGCCTCTCGAAACCGTACTTTTTTCAGGGGCGTAGAAGTTGAGGAGAAAAACACCCGCTACCCCTTCAAAATCTCCACCAATTATGAGGAAAAAAATTTTTTTTCTGGCACAAAACATAGCTTATTTTGAGTAGAAAATGCTTACATAAGCTGTTTTTTGTACGATAAACGGTTCCAGAGATAATCGAAAAAAACGATTTTTTTTCTAAAATTTCAACACCCTGTATCTCGAAAATTGTGCATTTTAGAGGGTAAGTTAATAGCGACTTTTTTCATCTTTTTGGTTAAGCTATCACATCCTGAAGTCCTGCGCATATATTATGAAACACCCTGTATACCATTGGAAAGAGCGAAAAATTGTAGACATAAAACATCTAAAATTTTGAAAAAACTGGACCTAATACGTACGGTTTGCCTCTGGGTAAAATGATTTAAAATAAATTTATTTTAGCGCTTAAGCGCTACACATGAAAAGTCCCCACAAACTTATAAAAATCATAATTTTTCAAAAATATATATTTTTGTCCATTTTTTACGAAATGTTATTTGTGAATGTTGTCTTATATCTACAGTGTGGGGCAATGGAAAGTTGATTTTTGATTTTAGGGTACAATTTATTTGTATATTTTCAACCCCTTAACTTCAACTCCTAAGCTCTTATCAATTAAAATTTTAGGGGTGAAATTTTAAGTTTTAAGTCCCTAGCTCTTATGATTAATTAATTTTTAACTAAAAACCGGCACATTTTCCAAGATTTTGACAAGATGTCGTATCAACAGGGATGATGAGCAGCAACTTCAAACTTGGAGGTTATAATCAGAGCAAAAAAAACTTCAAAATAAGACATCACTCGACCCCCTTCCCATTAAAAATTTAAATATAACCCACGCTTAGGATTTAAAGTTAAGGGCCCCTTAATAAAGGGTTGAAAATATAAAAACAAATTGTCCCCCTAAAATTAAAAATCGACTTGTGCGAGCGTTTTTTGTATTTTACGTAACACCTGATAAAACTGGGTTACATAGATTTGTGTATTTTTTTTCAATATTTATTATAATGTCGGGTAACGAAATGATCTGGTTTTTGAGTGATTTGTTTGAATTTTTTTACTCAAGTGAATATAAATAAAACAATTTATTTTTGTACCTTGTATACCTATGGGTATAATTTTAAATGTGTTTTCTTTTTTTTTATAAATCTGCATTATATTTTAATAGGTGTGTTTGCTTTGATACTTCCATATGAACCATGCATAATTATTATTTGTAATTTATTTCTAATTAAATAAAATATACAATATTAGCCTCAAATATGATAATATTATATTATACCGTATTTTTATGTTTGGTGTAGGTATATACAGTTCATCACGCATTGAGTAATTATTACCTTAACCTTAACCGTAAAAATCGTGATAAAAAAATTTATAAAATATACTCCTCCATCTCAAACACATTCCTACTTACGTAAGTTGATTTGAAATCGAATTTAGAAGAGTTTGTTTATATTTAAAATAATTTGTACCTAGGTAACTAAAAAATAGGAAAAAAATTAATTTTTAATAGGTATCAAATTGGCATATTTTTTTTTAAAGATCCATTATTTACCTATTAATTAAATCGGCGCCAAAAACGATATCATTTCTCCATGACGATTCCGAGAAATCCCCCACAACAAAAAAGAGCATTGTAACTATGACTCACATCTCGTGACACCAAAAGATCCTATTGGTGACCCGTGACCAAAATACAGACCAATAAAATTCCTTTCCAACGAGTGCGAGCGAAACAGGAAAAACCTTTTATCTTTCTCTACTTTCAAGTCGGGAAGTTCGTGAGAGCATATAGCGTTTGAAATATCGACACTAATGTAAAAATACTCACTGAGAACGAACGTATATTGTTGAATATTTTTCAAATTTAGTTTTTAAAGCGTTTGAACTTTGTTAAATAAAGTTAAATTTATATAAAAATTATAACTGTGATATTTGTTCCAAATTCACTAAAATTGGTGGAAGAAAACCGCGACTAATTGGCAACAACCCCCATTTTTGCGATAGAGTAAGTTTTTTCTCAATTTTTTATTAATTGGCTAAATAAGTTTTACAAGTATCTTATTTTTATGTTATTTTCAAGTTTCTTTAGTTGTCATTTGAAATTTTCACAACATGGTGCAATATTGCGCAATCCTTAAATCGATCCTATATCATACCGTTTGGTATGACCCTGAAACTTGTGTAGACAAGATTCTGACGTCATTTGTTTTGAAAATGCAATGTGATTGCATTTTAAGCGTTTTCCTGTAATTTTCAAAAACTTATCTTTTTATTATTTATTATTCTTCATGGAATGGTAGGACTTAAGTATTTAAATTAACCCTCTAAATTAGTTTTAGAGAACATAATATAACATATGTAATTGTTTCGTTATAAACGTTATATAACGTTTATAACGAATCAATTTTTTGTACCAAACAACCAATTATAATTTATTTAAATTTATATGATAATAACCACTGTTTTATTACTTCTTTGGGTAATAAAATCGCCAAAAGTGGTCCAAACTAAATTATATTTTAAGTACACCGCCATTTTGAATTCTGAAAATATTTCTTGTTTTTAAGAGTATTACAGCATTGTCCCATAATGGGACTTAATATTACAAATATTTTTAACCGTTTTATTGGTGTTTCCGTAATCTTAAAATTGTAAATGTATTGCAAATTAGAAATCTAAAAATAGATCTATTTATTATTGATACATTTCAATTCAGTAATTATTTTTTATTTCCAGGTTGAGTAACGCTCAACTCAATTTCTGGTGAGGCCCTAAAGGGAGTCAACATTTTTAAAAGCGAACAAGGAGAATTTTTAGTAAGTACCAATTTTTTAGAAATACTAGTAATGGTTTATTTGTACAAATTTAAATTTTATTTTATGTAATAAGCCAATCTAATCTAAGGTATTGTGTAGTGATAACAGACATTGATCCTAATTAAAACAAAAATGCATCTTTTAAAAACAACTGTGATTTGCACTATTTTATAAATTATCATTTAAAAGTTTTAATTTTTTTTATTTATTTCCATTATATTGAACCAATATTTTTTAATGATTCTTATAAGATAAAACCTAAACCAAATGGATTTTTTTAACAACTTTATCAATTTTGGAATCAATGTTTATTAAAAATTTTTAGTAAACCTAACAATAAGTACCTATGTACATATTAAATTAAAAAGAGCAACGTCGGATATTTGTAATTCCGGATCTGCCTAAATTCCGCGAAAAATGTGTCATCCAGTTGCATAAACATTACCGGCGCCGAATGCTTCTGCAAGTTGAAACTTGTTGGGCGCCTTCTTAGCGTCAAGGTGAGGGAGATATAAAAACTGACTCACACGGGGAATCCATCATTATAACAGTTGCCATGAACCTATCAGTATGTAACAGTGATAGTGCTTATGAGAAAGAAAGGACATTATGCCAAAAGGAGATCCAAGTAATTTATTTAATTAAAGTAAATAAATTATGAATAAAATTGATTATATTTTTTTATTTTGTTTTAGTAAGATTACTTAATTATAGTAAGTTTAGTTAGGTTGATACTAGGTAGGTGGATATTTTAATTTTAAAGAATACAATTATAGAGTTTTATAGGTATATTTTATTAATTTTATTTGGTTGTAAATAAATATATAATAATATAAGATCTATTAAGGTTTATTTTAATAATAAAATGTATGGTAAAAAATTGGGATCAGTGTTTGTCGACAATATTCACTTTAAATACCTTTATTAAAATATTTTGGAATTTTTTTTAGGTTGAAACATGAATATTTTGAATCATTACGAGGTTTGATTTTGATAAATCTATAATTAATAATATAATTTAAATAATTACTACAATTTTGTGATTAAATTAAGTGTGTAATTGTGTTTTATATTTTTATTTTGCTATACTAGGTATAGTTAAATTAAAATTAAACAATGAAATTACATATTTAATTTTTGATTTAAATAGGTTTATTTGTTTATTTTTTAAAAATAAAAATAATAACACAGGTCAATATTATTTTAGAAATTAGGGAATTTTTAGTGCACAATATACAGGGTGTCATGTTATTAATTAACCCTAACGCTTAGGTACTTGAACTCTCTGAGGAGTTCAAAAAAATGTAGTCAGTTGTTCAGAAAAATGTGGGCAACATTTTTGTTTACAGGGGGGAAGTCGTCAGGGTTTATTTTTGGGTTGAAAAATAGGGGGTAAATTTAAAAAATCATTTTTAATTCAATTTCGTACTAGGAAATAATATTTTTTTTTCAAATGACAAAGTTGTAGCCCCCAAAAAAATTATAAAATTAATTTTTTTATCATTTAATATACCTACAGTTTGACTGTAGTATAGTGCTCACTAATGCAAAAGTGATGGAGGAAAAACTTGCTGACTTTAACGTGAACTATCATCTCCCCAAGGGATGAACTTACACCCTGTATGATACATATAATATTTCAGTAAAAAATCATTGTTGACCAGTGGGGTTAGATGTACTACATAGTCAGATTTATGAAAAACTGAAATGTTTTGTATTTTATAAATAATACTTAATTGTTACACTTTATCTTTTAGTAACTTTAAAAAACTATAATTAGTTTGATACTATCTATCTTTATTTTTTTTCTTCATCTTAAACAAACGAGTGGACTTTAAAATAAATGTCCATTAACATGACACTTCGAAATATAAAAATTAAATCGAGTTTTGAAAAACCCGACTACCCCAAAACCTTTAAAGCGAAATAGGATGTTTAAATTTATTTTGTAATGGTTTCCATTTTTATATTTATGCTTACTTAATTCAGTTTAACTCATTACAGTTCATCCAACAATGGCCTTCGCAGCTGTATTTGTCAGAGGAGAATCATGGCGAGAGATCAATGCTCATGGACATACAACCAAACCGCCCTCAAACGCCGGACTTAGACTTTCTGCACTGTGTAAACCCCCACGAAGTCAATCCTATAGTAGGCTTGGACAAAATCAACACAACAGAGTATCAGGTAATAAACTAAAGAATTGAATTGAATTTTAAAATACAAAATTTAAAGCCTACTTTACTTCATCTGATTATTAATGTTATAATGTTATTTATCTCCAGGTAAATTGGAACGTACAAATGACAGACGTGCCAGTTGGTCACGGGTTCTACGGCCCATCGCCAAAAAAAGTCAAGCTCGAAATGGAGGAATTTCGAGATCTCAGTTTCTATTTACCCAAAGTGTTACCGACCACGTCAACCGTAAATACCATAGATGAATTAAACACGCCTGTTTTTGGTAAGCACAGATACACAAAAACAGTGTTTTTTGTAAGCTATGGGAATCCCCAAAATTAATTTAATTTATTAGCAAATGTAGTTTATTTAAGTAATTTATTAATTTTACTTCATTTTTAAAATATTGTCTTTTATTCGTTATTATTTTAATAACAAACATACATTTTTATTAAGTATGTTATGCATTTAACAGTTTAATTAAAAAAGTTGCATAATTTAAAGCATCACACTACATTTATTTATATGTTGCCCAAATTATTGCAAGAACGCTAAATAAATTATTATATTATAATGACGTTATAACTTGAAACAAATGAAAATCGTATAATTTAACTGAGTTTTTTAAAATCATATTTACTTGTTCTTTCTTTCAACCCACCCTTAGTATAAAAAAATCTATTTGAAAAAAAAAAAAACAAATTGTATAATAATAACTATCTGGATGAAAATGACTTTTTTTAAATAAAAAGTTTTATAAAAAACTAAGTATTATTTAATGATGCTTAAAAATGTTTCATTAATTTTAAAATACCTTGAATAATAAACAATTTTTTTTTCTTTTTAGAAAATGATTCATTTGATTTTTCATATTTACCACAAACGAAGCCAAGTACTTTCGATGCTGTAAAGCTTGAAAGCAGGGACTACGTAAACAACCAGTATGCCTATCCAACTATAAATAGCGAAAAGCAAGCAATAATAAGTATAATTAGTGACGTAAGCAACAACGGCGCCATGCAAAACTTAGATGCGTTCGACACGCACAGTAATAGCGCAATGGCGCCACCTAACGATAACGACGGGAATGTCTTTGATTCTGACTGCGAATCTCCTCCCTACGAGCAACTTAATGTCATGGAAAGTCCTAAGGAACTTGAAGACAGCAACAGTTCTCTATCAACTGAAAATTCTACTCCATTGTATCTAAATCTAAATATGAAACCAATTGCCGACAATATAAACACACCAGATGTATTAGACACGGTTATAGAGTTGGGCGATCAGTGTAACTTTAATATTTTGGATTTGGTTCAGTCGGAGGTACGTTGTATAATTAATTTATTCAATTACAACAGTTAACAGCAATTAAATCAATTAACAGTTAATTTCCATGTATATTTTTGAGCTGAATCCTAAAATACCTTGTATCTCCAGTAGGGCGTAACAGCAAATTCAGCAGTGCCAATTTAGTAAAAATAAAATTAAAGTATTATTAAAAACTAAAAACAACATAAAAAGTAAATATAAATTGTTAATTTGTTATTATAACCCTTGTGGAAATTTTTCTCTGAGAAAGTCTTACTTTCTCTGAAAAAGTCTGAATAATACTTATTAAGTCGGAAAAAGTCAGAATAAGACTTATTAAGTCGGAAAAAGTCTGAATAAGTCTTATTAAGTCAGACTAATAGCAAGATTTGGGAGTCTTCTGGAAGAGTTAATAAGACTTTTTAAGACTTAATAAGACTTTTAGTAGAGAAATGGTAGGTACCTACGGAGATAAAAATAAATATCCGAAATAATTCATAGAGGTTGTATTTGGTTCTCGTAAAATAAAACACATAGAAAAGTATTTATTAACATTTTTGCTGTTGTTATAAGCCAAGTTTATTGCATAACTACCTATATAATAACATAGGTAAGATGTAATAATTAGGTATAACAATTATAATTTTATACATACGATGCGCTTGACATGCATGCTTCCACCATAGAAAAAGGAGTTGCCACTGTACGTTTTATTTTAATAGTTTCTTTTGATACACGCAAATATTTACCTATCTAAACATTGTTACAAACAATAGACGTAAGACGTAATATCGAGAGACCAGCTTACTAAGCTGGTCTCTCGATATTACGTCTTACGTCTATTGTTTGTAACAATGTGACAGGTCAGCTGTGCTCTAATTGGTCAGCTAGCTAAGCTGAGCTTAGCTAGCTGACCAATTAGAGCACAGCTGACCTGTCAGTGGGACACAGTGTTGCCGTTTGCAAGTATTTTACTCGAAAATCGGGTATTTTCATAATATTTGCGCGTGATTTGCAAATTTCTATCAAAATAATAAAAGAAATTTTCAGTAAATTGTATATTGTAATTGTAAATTGTATATTTACTAAATATGCACAATTATTTTATTCTATCTTGTTACATTTTTATTATTATTTTAGTATTTTGTAATTTATGGTCAGGAACTTTTATGGCAACACTGTACGTAAACACGAAGATCAACCATGATACAAAGATGAATGAAACACGAAGATCAACCATATTTGTCTTATGAGTCTATCGAAAATATCATGTCTATAGACTTGATATTAACTCCTTTTTCTATGTTGGAAACAATGAAAGCATGTTAAGTGTATCGTATGTATAAAATTATAATTGTTATAATTATTACATCTTACCTATGTTAGTATATAGGTAATTATGCAATAAACTTGGCTTATATAAGCCAAGACAAGTATTTATTAACATTTTTGCTGTTGTTATATAACAACAGCAAAAATGTTAATAAATACTTGTCTTGTGTTTTATTTTACGATAACCAAATACAACCTCTATGAATTATTTCGGATATTTATTTTCATCGCCATAGGTACCTACCATTTCTCTACTAAAAGTCTTATTAAGTCTTAAAAAGTCTTATTAACTCTTCCAGAAGACTCCCAAATCTTGCTATTAGTCTGACTTAATAAGACTTATTCAGACTTTTTCCGACTTAATAAGTCTTATTCTGACTTTTTCCGACTTAATAAGTATTATTCAGACTTTTTCAGAGAAAGTAAGACTTTCTCAGAGAAAAATTTCCACAAGGGAATGGCAAAAATAAGGCTTAAAACTCATATTTTTGTGTTTCTTAAGTTGGCAGCACGAAATTTAAAATGACAATTTTGAAAAGTACCTACTAAAACAATAGGTAATTTTGTTAGATTTTCATAAAAATCACTGTAATAGTCAATTTATACGCAATCAACATAAGCCTCTTGTTGCTTGAGTTTAGAAACGAATTTTTAAATTTTAATAACACCTGTGTTACATCCCACAGATTTTCACAGTATTTCTAAAATTCGTTTCCAAACCTGAGAAACAAAATATGATCATGTTGATAGCTTAAATATTAATTATTATAGTTTATTTTTTAAGAAAATCTCATGAGCAAGATCTTGAGATACAAAATACACTGTGTATAAACAAATGTTACTTTAAAGATTCATTTCTTGGAATCTGTGCTGTAAAAAATCTGAAATGTGTCTGATGCCTTACAAAATCATACATTCGGAATTTGAGTCAAAAATTTGGGGCTTTATATGCAAACCCATATAATCCTGCTCTCGATCCTGACCCTATTTATTACGGGATTCAGCGGACGAATTTTTAGATAGAAATTAACTTTTAAATGGATAAAAATTGGATACAATTTTGTTCTTATTTGTTGACTTGTATTATTGTTATTAACTTTTTTGTTTATTTTAGGATATTATCACAGTTAACGCTGAAGATATCTTTCCCTACGTGCATGAAACTTTAAGCGAAACACAGCCTTTAAAACGAAAACGCGTTAAGAAAAGTGAAAGCGATGAAGAATACATTCCTCCCTTAAAAACGCGAAGAAGAGAACTGTGCAGCGATTCTGAAAGCGACTACGAAGAAAAGTTTTCAAAAAAACCAAGATCGCCGACGAAGAGACTTTCCTCAGTAGACAGTAGAAATGGAGGATTGAAATACAGGGATCTCAGGGATAAAAATAATGAAGCTTCCAGAAAATCAAGAATGAAGAGAAGGGAAAAAGAAAGGGAGATAGATATGGAATGTGAAGAGCTAACAAATAAAAATGTTAAGCTAAAAGCGCAAGTTGAGGAGTTAGAAAAGACTGTGTCCAGCTACAGAGAAAATCTGTTTAAAATTATGCTTCTTAAAAAGTAGTAAGATGATTTTACATTTCTGTTGTTGTTTATTTTATATTTTTGTACCTAATATTTCGAAACTGTTATATATTAAATATATAATATTGTTTAGTTATAATTTATACGTACTGTGTTAATAACAATTATTATATTTACTTAATTATAGTGCTGGGATATATAAATACTATACAAATACTATTTGAACCATTATAATATTAGGGTTAACTACTGTTGAATTAGCCCAGCTTTGTTTTATTATTATATTAAAAATAAATTGGAAACTAATAAATTATTTTTTTTAACACGTTTTTTAATATTCAATCTTCTCTAATAAAAATAACACAGTTTATTCACTGTATTACTTTCACCCTATAGAAAATTATAAAATGTTGAAAGTTTTACCGAGGGGGAAACCATAGCAAGTGATATTTAATTTAAAAAAAAAACACCATCAACAAAAGCCAGCGTGTGTTGAAGATTTTGGAAAAAGGAACCTCAATGTTTTATTAATATTATATCATAACATTTCTACAATAGAGGTTTTGGGACATCTGAATGTTGTAGGAATATTAAAATAACATTAGGCATTATGTAAACACATATTTTTTAATTTTTTATTATACTCGTACAACCTTGTTATATTAGGGGAGCGACTTGTCTTATGTCGTTTTTCTTAGCTTTTTAAAGTGAACATTCTAAAAGACTGCTTACCAGGATTGCTGTTATTCTTTTGTGGCATAGTTTTTGCATTTCTTGGCCTGATGACACTGTCGGCGGCTACCTTAAGGTAGCACCTCTAATTATAATAATTATGTCATGTAGAGGTGAAAACTGTTACTTTGGTTTGGATTTTGTAAAGATTTTTGTTTTTTTAATGCATCACTGGATATGACTAGATAAAACGAGATTTTGCTTAGTATTCCATAGACTTTTGCCCTTTCTATAACATTTTCATTAATATAGTACCTATAGGTTCAGGCAAATACGCTTATACCATTGAAAAGTTAAAGGGTAAAATTAACACATGTCATGCTGAATATTAATTAGCTAGCATAGACAATGTGCTTGGTCTATAAATGGTCCTAAATAGTCACTAATAATTTTGACAACTTCAAAAATGTGGCAATTTCTTAAAATAATAAAACCCTTCCAATATCATAAGTTCTACCGTTTCCAGAAATGCAATCTTGTGATCCAGTCAGAACTTTACGACAAAACTATACCAAATCTTATTCTCAAAAAAGATTCCAAAGTAATATGCCAAGGATTTACAGGAAAAGCTGGAACCTTACATAGCGAACTAACCATAAAATATGGTACGAAAATGGTTGGAGGTACAAATCCCAAGAAAGGAGGGCAAAAACACCTGGGATTGCCAATATTTAAAACTGTTAAAGAAGCCAAGGAAGCAACTAATCCTCATGCATCTGTTCTTTATGTTCCTCCTCCAGCCTGTGCTGCTGCCATTATGGAAGCTATCGAGTCGGAAATACCACTGATTGTTTGTATCACAGAAGGGGTACCCCAGCACGATATGGTAAAAGTGAAACATGCCTTACTTAGGCAATCTAAAAGTCGACTTGTGGGTCCTAATTGTCCTGGAATTATTGCATCCGGAAAATGTAAAATTGGTATAATGCCTAATATGATACACAAAGAAGGAATAATTGGGATTGTATCTAGATCAGGTACACGTTATATTATTTAGTTTAATAAGGAAATATTATTATTTGATAATAATATTAAAAACATCCAGGGTGTAACAACCTGTATAATAAGTGTTCAAATATACAGGGTGTATAAGAGTTTCAATAAAACATATTAAGGAGTGGTTTTACAGCGCCAACAATGAAAAAAAGTTTTAAAGAACTTGGGGTAAAAAATGCTTTATAATTTGGTACGAATAATATTACACATAAAAAATCACATAAAAAATCACATTGTGACGGCAAGATTAATTTTTTTCTCCATAGAATTGTAAACCACTCTATTGTAGGTACATACATATTATGAACCCCCCTGAAATATTTTTCTGGATCCGCCCATTCGACTTGTTTGTTACCAAACTATTATATATGTTACGGCTAATGTGCAAACTTGGATAGTTTATAAACTAGCTGGATAGTTTATAAACTAGTCAAACTGTTGGATATTTTAATTGAAAACCAACCAAGGGTCTTGGCTAATTTACTTGAAATTATTTAGAAAACTAAAATAGCTGGATAATTTGTAAATTATCCAATTCAATTTGGCTAATATAAAAACCAAAATTTCTAGTAACACAGCTTTAGATAGTTTACAAACTAAACAACCAATATTCTGGCTAATTTATTAATAACTGATTTTTTTATTGGCTTGGCGGGGTTTGTATTTATATATTTTACTTTTTAAAAACACTAATAATTATAATTATAGTTTAAACGAATTACATGAGTTTTCCTAACGTCTCTTGTAAACTTACCTTACCATATACATATTATAATATAATATGTATAATATTATAATAAGCCAGACGGACAATAAATGGAGATAATTAAAATGCAAGTAAACGATTTTAATTCTTTATTAATAAAAAAATTAAATTTAAATATGTTTATTAAAAACCACATAAATAACATACAAATTTAATATTCATAAAAGACTTACAACTGCGTTTTTCGACATTTAAGGCTTGTAGTTCGTAATTATTTAAAAAATGTGAAACAACTTAAATTAACTGTGTTTTTATGTAAGATGTATTGATGGTTTATTAAAATTATTTTAATTAAAATACCCTGCTGAAAATGACAAATGATTGCGGATATAAATTCTTCGTCAAAACCGGATAAAAGCAGATGATTGCGGATATACATTCTTCGTCGATGCCAGATAAAAGCAGATAAAAGCGTTTAAAAATATCATCTGATAAGATCTGCTTTTGTCCGCATCACTATATCCGCGATGGTTGTGTTTTATGTCCGGTTAGTGGACCCCCGCAATCATCTGAAATTATCTGTTTTTAACCGCTTCCACTGCTTTTCGTTTATATCTGAATTTGTCCGGGATCATCTGCAAACGTCTACTTTATTTTTGTCGCGTTTTGTACCAACAAAAAAGGGATTATTTCTATATAAAATTGGACGCTGAATTCGAAAATTATTGGCTGCTTTTTCACTATGAAAACTAGTAATTTTTTAATAATTTATTTTAAGAAAGCAAATTATTTCAAACTTTTAAACGAACAATTATTTTAGAAAAATTAATTGTAAATCCAAATTACCATTCTTTTAAGGTACTCTTACTTATGAGGCTGTAGCTCAAACAACAAATGAAGGTTTGGGTCAAACATTGTGTGTAGGTATAGGAGGCGACCCATTTAACGGCACCAACTTTATAGACTGCCTAAAAGTATTCCTAGAGGATCCTGCTACAAAAGGTATAATAATGATTGGAGAAATTGGAGGAGAAGCTGAAGAAAAAGCTGCTGAATTTTTATATGAATACAATTCAGGTCCTTCAGCCAAACCAGTCGTGGCATATATAGCAGGACTATCTGCTCCACCGGGTAGAAGAATGGGACATGCTGGAGCTATTATTTCTGGAGGAAAGGGGAAAGCCTCTGACAAAATAAAAGCTCTGGAGGATGTTGGAGTGGTTGTAGCCAAATCTTTAACACAAATTGGTACTCATAAAAGTGTCTTAGTAAAATATTGTATAACAATATATGTTTTTAATATAGGTCCTGCTTTAGTTAAACAAATGATAAAATATAAATTAATACCAAGTCGAGCTCCGGTACCAACAGGGACAACAGGAAAAGTTGCTGCAACATCCGCATCATCAAAAGCACAAAATAAGTGTACACCAGCAATACGTAAAGCATAAAAATGGTAAAGTTAGAATTATATAATAATTACCTATAATTAATTATAATTATTGTTAATATCGTAAGTTTTGTGTACTTGTAATTTTACAAAATAAAAATCATAGGTAATGTAGAGTTTTATCCTTATATTAGGGCAAGGGCGTCGCCAGCCAATGTGCCAGGGGGGCAAGATGATAGATAAAGGATATGATTTCTATGATAAATAAATACAATTTGGTCTACGACCAAAGCTTAGGCTTTCGCCAAAAATGATTCCTTCTGCCAAACATTTTGCTTCGAATAAAATTAATCTGAAGACGAACATTTACAGTTTGCCTATAAATCGCCAAATTTTCTAGTAGAAAGTAGGCTTCGGCTATACCTTCGGCTCAATTTTAGCCGAAACCGAATGTTTGGCCTAAGGTAAATTTTTTTTTAATACATTTATTTAATAAAATCATAAACACTCGGTTCCGGGGAATGTCTTTATATAACCGAACATCGGCTTTGGTCGGATACTAACAATTTGTAAAGTACAGGGTGCGGCAAAAAGGTTGACTATGTTCAAGGGTCAATGCTTGGCTCGTGGGGGGATAGAACAGTGAGCATGGTCGGTTTAGGTAGGTACGTGCATGCCGTTTTCAGTCATCCTCATGAATCTGTCAGAAATATTTGGGATGTCAATAAAAATCAAAATAAGAAAAAGCTTCGAAGGTATGTTTCCGGACAAAGTTGTCTGTTTACGGGATATTACGCGGAGGCCACCCAATATTTATGAAATAATATGTCTTTCCTAAAAATAAAAAGCTTTTTTCTTAGTTAGTCAGGGGTCAAATCAGGCCAACGCCGAGGCCCCGTAAAGAGACAACTTTGTCCGGAAACATCTCTTGAAGAATACCATGTGAAATAGAAAGCTTTCTTAGTGTGATTTTTATTGACAAATATTTCTGACAGATTCATTATGACGACTGAAAATGACATGCACGTACCTACCTAAAGCAAACACGCGCACTGCTCTATCACCCCCACGACCGAAAAATTACCCTTTGAAAATGGGGCAATCTTTTTCCCGCACTCTGTATAACCTAAAGCACCGCGGCAGGTAATATTAAAATTGTGATAAAGGAGCACCGATAGATGTACCTTCACATGCATGGATCGAATTCTAAACAACTTTTCTTTCTGTTGCCTGTATGTCTGAATTTTTCCGTCCAATATTGTCAGTTTACTGAAATCGAAATTTGAAGAAAAGTTGCTTCGGGACGGTCGTCCAATTTTGGAAATTGGGCAATGCAGTTTATCTAAAGAAAATGGCCGTTTCTTTTTTTTTGGATAAAAAATACCTAATTGGCTCGGTTTGGCTCGGTACTTTATAACTGACTGAAGTTGGTTGCCTAACTTCAAGATTCTTAATCAGTTGTAATTTGAACAAAATTTTGCTACTGGGTTTAGACCCGAGCAAGGGTAGGTCATAGGACCTGTTACCCTTTCTCTTGAGTTGGAGTTTGGAGATATGGTATTTGCTTTCGCGTTTGGAATTTTTATTGAACAGGAATTGGTGGGTGTTTGGGCCACCAGCGGTCTAAATATAGCAGGGGGGCGAGGGCACAGGGGCTATAATAAGCCGATGCGCTCCCGTCGTCTGCAATGTTTTGTACCTTGAAATCCTTGTTGTTTCCTGCCTGGGCTTGGTTAAACTGAAACGTAATGTGATTAGGCATTTTGGTGAATTGAGCTTAGGTTGAGCACGTTTATGAGGATAAGGCGAGCTGAGTAGGAGTTTAAATCGGAGTTGGGATAGAGGAGAGCAGAAGTGATCACCTCGAGCAGAGGTGATCACCTCGAGCAGAAGTGATCACCTCGAGCAGAAGTGATCACCTCGAGGTGGAGGGCAATAAATGTTTTGTTATTGTTGTTACTTTTCAATGTCTTGGTTGTTAGTTGAGTTTTTGTTTTTATTAATTGGGAGATGATGCTATGTTACTGGTTTCGTTTAGTTTTGTGTACGAAATTAGCAGAATATGTATTCTATATGTTTGTTAGTAGTATTGCTTCTCCAAAACTGTTTTTACTCTTTTAATAAATTTATAAACTTTTCATTTGTTAGTGTAGGTATTTAACTTAATATTTTTAATGATTTTAAATAATGTATTTTAATCTTAATTTTACTATTATATATATAGGTTAGGGTGCTTCAAAAAAAATTTTTTTTCGCTCTTACCCTTTCAAATGATTTTATTTAATATAAAAAAAATCCTCACCAAATATGGGCGTTCCAGCTCAACTCTAAGAGGTCGCTGTTTTTATTTTAGTTTCCCATTGAATTAACATGGGAAAAAATTAATTTATGTTTGGAATTTTATACCTCTGTATCAAAGTAACTTATGGCAATGATCATTGCAGTTTCTTATATAAAATTTAACGCTCTACAAAAAAGGTCTCTAATTATTTTTCGATAAATTAATTTCTTCTAGAGTCATTCGAGGTCAAAATGGGTTGATATAGAGTGCTGATGTTCACGAATCTATACGCCCTTCTGATATCCGACCATAGTGGCGCTTACGCCCTTCTGATATCACGCCCTGGATATGTAATTGAATTAAATATCAGTAATTCCAATTTTATTGACAATGAAAATTGGAATTATATATAATTTTCAATAACTAGTTTTTAAACTTTTTTAAACTCTTATACTATAAGACTTATACCAATATTCTGCAAATATTGTAATTATGAAAAATTTGAATTCAAAGATTTTGTATATTTTTAAAATACTATCCAAATTTTAATGAATGATTTTCCACAATACAAAAATTAACCACAATTTTTCAAAGTGTATTTGATAATTCACATCAATAAAAGGGACTCAAATTCTATTTATTTAGAAAAAAATTATTCGGTTAAATTATTTTTCAATTCGAGACTATATATGAGTACATTAGATGCACAACTCTGTATTTGCAGTATAAGTGATTTTAAGAAAAAAAATGCAAAAATTGTACGTATAGATGACGTCTATTAGACGTGCTATTGCATCATTTTTATTCAAAAAAGTAAAAAAAAATCCTTTTAAATTAGGTAGTAAATAATTGAAATCAAAATATTCAAAAACATATATAAAGTATCAGATCTATAGAATGCAAAACTATAGTTTTGCATCCTCCTGGTTCAAAAACCATGTTTTGCAAGTAAAAAGTGCAAATAAAAAAAGTTTCGCTTAATAAAAACAAATTTACATAGTTAAACTTAAATTCCATGTTAGATATACTTTAAATGACTAAATAAACATTTAAAACGGTTAAAATTAGAAAATGTAACGTCCTTTCTTTCAAAGCTCATTAAACTTGATCTTTCTTTTGCTAACTTAACGGATCCGTCAAGTAATGCGTATACGTGTATCGACAGCAAATACCGAGTTTTGCATCTTACAGGAAGAAACAAACACCCAGTTTTGCATCTGTGTTAAGTTTTTAAATGTATTTTATTCTACAAATATTAACTTATGCATATGGTTTACTTAGGTATGCTGTAGACAGTGCATAAATAGTATAAAATATAATATATTATATTTTTTTTAAATTTGCAAAAACCGAGTTTTGCAACTAATGTACTCATATAGTCTCCAGAGCATTGATGGGAGACCCATTGGGAAGTGGTTCGTAATGTTTGGTCGGACTCGGTCTCTGATTCTTCGAAAGGGTTCGCAATGGTTTGAAGTGGAAACACTGCGAACCACTAGGTACGTACCTAATGGGTAATGTTTGGAAGTTCTTTCGCAACCATTGCGAATTACTTCAGAACACACCAACCACTACGTAATATTCGGCAATGTTCTAAAGTGTTATTCCGCAAGGGTTATTTTTTAAGTTTCGGTTTTATTAAATCCGTAAATAAAATCCTTAACTATTAATTTCTCTCAACTATTTTTGCCTGGATTTTACTCTGGATTTTATTGACTTTTTGCAAATTGTTGGATTTTGAATAATTTGCTGGGTTTAGTTATTGTTGTGTCTAGAAAATGTAGTTACTTACGTACCTTTTTTAATATTACTATTTTAATAAATAATTTTTTTTGATTACTTCAATTTTTTTATATTTTTTAGTACTCCTTGAAAGATCTTTCTCAGTAAATTTTGAGATTTTTTTGATCACGGGTTCAAAACATTAAATTTTCAAAAAAACTGCTTTTTTTTGTTTTTCGCTCATAACTTCTAAAAAAAATGGTCCAAATCAAAATGTTCATTCTACCTATATAAAATTTTCGTTTTTAAATGTACTTTTCAAAATAAAATATATTGAAAATATTTGAAGCGTTTTAAGTCAAGATTTTTGAGTTTTAAAGTTAAAATCGTGTTTTTAATAATGGGTGTCTTCTTCGATTTTCGCGAAAATTTTTTATTTTCTATTCAACAACTATTTAGCCTGGTCCGGTAGTGGGCCTTCCATAATTACTATTTTTTTCGATTTTTCAAAATTAAAAAAAAAAACTCTCTAAAAATTACCAGGCTGAATAGTTGTTGAATAGAAAGAAGTTGAAAATAAAAAATTTTCGCGAAAATCGAAGACACATTTTTAAAAACACGATTTAAGCTTTAAAACTCAAAAATCTTGATTTAAAACGCTTAAAATATTTTCAATATATTTTTTTTCGAAAAGTACATTTAAAAACGAAAATTTTATATGGAATGAATATTTTGATTTGGACAAAGTTATGAGCGAAAAACAAACAAAAAAGCTGTTTTTTTTTTAAATTTGATATCTTTTGAAGCCGTGATCAAAAAAATCTCAAAATTTACTGAGAAAGCTCTATCAAGAAGTACTAAAAAATATTAAAAAAATTGGAGGAATCAAAAAAAAAATTTTTTTAAACCATCCGATTTGGCGTGGAATGCCCCATATACGAGTAGAAATTTCACCACTTTTAATTTTATTTAAAAAAACGGGACCATAGATTTGGCTAAAAAACTAGGCCAAAGTCAAATGATGATAAATTTATATTTTGAGAAAATTTTTTTTAACCGTTTAGTTAATAACTAACAATA